ACACACACACACACACACACACACTAAGTCTGCAGCTCATTGTCTCTGTCCGCAGCTCTGCATGTATTATTAATGTGTGTGAAATGTCAGTCATGAAAGGCGTGTATTGTGGGCGAGTGTGTGTGTGTGTCTGTGTGTGAAAGGTTTCTCTCTCTGTGTCCGGCTGTGTTTGTTCGGCTGCTGGGATGTTCAGCAGACACACACACACACACACACAGTCCTCAAACACTGAGGCGGGGGAATAAAGAGCCGCTGTTCTGGGTCTTCACTGTATATAAATCAGTTAATCAGTAAATCACATCATCTTCATCATCTTCATCCTCATCAGCTGAGTGTGAAGTGTTTAAGAGCATGCTGGAAATGTAGACAGTCATACAATCACATCCACTGAGACACACACTTACAGACAACACACCATACTCACAAAGACACACACTTTGTTTCTCTTATGCACACACTCTCACAGACACACTCATAGAGATGCACATGCTTCTCTCACATACACACAGACACACTCACAACAAACACTCATAGAGACACACACACACACACACTCACAGACAAAAAATATATATATATTTAAATAATAACATGAATATATAGACACATATTCATTCATTTTCTCCTGCATTAGTGCCTTTATTCATCAGGGGTGAATGAACCGCCAACTATTCCAGCATATGCTTTAAACAGTGGACACCCTTCCAGCTGCAACCCAGCACTGGGAAATAGATAAATAAAGTATTATAAGATAATCAAAACATCAAATAATACTATAACAGTTTTTGAGGGTGTAGGGGTTAATCCATGTCAGCTGACAGTGTTGTGCAGAGCTTATAGCTGTAATATTCCCACATCCACGCTGGATATGTTATCAACGCTGCCCTCTAGTGGCAAACAGCAGACATCACCATCCCAAACATCCCAGAGTTCAGAAAGAACAGCATTCATTCATTCAATCATTCATTCATACCTTCAGCTTAGTCCATTTATTCATCAGGGGTCACCACAGCGGAATGAACCGCCAACTATTCCAGCAAATGTTTTACACAGCGGATGCCCTTCCAGCTGCAACCCAGTACTGGGAAACACACTCAATCACACACACTCATACACTACGGTCAATGTAGTTGATCAGTTCCCCTATAGCGCATGTGTTTGGACTGTGGGGGAAACCAGAGCACCCGGAGGAAACCCACACCAACACGGGGAGAACATGCAAACTCCACACAGAAACACCAACTGACCCAGCCGAGACTCAAACCAGAGACCTGAGTGCTGTGAGGCCACAGTGCGACACCACTGAGCCACCGTGATGCCTTTTCATTGTTAAATTATTTCTAAACCAATAATAATGCAGGAATGACTGGAGGTGTGGGTCAGTCTTCTGCTCCTCCAGCAGGTGGCGCATTTGCTCTATAAACACATCATCATCACCATCATCATCAGGAACACACAGACATGCCTCTACATGTTCATCTGTACACTCAATATCTGCCTCTCCGTTATTCCCACTGGAGTTTGATTCTCCACAGTCAGGTTGTGCACTTTTATTATTGGACTGTTATCATTATGGTTAAGGACACACTGCAAACCACAGCTTTCCTACTCAGAGTTCCTCTTGTTTCTAGAGCAGATATCCACACACTCTGAACTCAGTCAGCATCTTCTAGAGCAGCACAGCATGAGTCAGAATGAGGAGAGATTCACCTTAAACAGCAGAATAACCTGACTCTGGAGGAAGAGGAATCCTCATGACAAAGTGAAGAACTCGGTTATTTTGCTCGCCCCATTGGCAGATTAATTTTCAAATGTGTGTGTTGGAGAGAGAGAGAGAGAGAAAGAGAGAGAGAGAGAGAGAGAGAGAGAGAGAGTGTGTCTGGCCTGTGTGTGTGTGTTGGAGAGAGAGAGAGTGTGTGTGTGTAATGGTCTAGTCTGTTTAATGACAGTGATGTGTGTATGTGTGTGTGTGTGTGTGTGTGTGTGTGTGTGTGTTGTTCAGAGGTGTGAGGAGCTGATTTGATGATCTGGACACTCAATACACACATTTGCTGATCACTCAGAACAAAGATGAAAGAGCTGATTAACACTCACAGCATAATCACGTTTCTGTCTGCTGTCTGGAGCTCCAGTGTGTGTGTGTGTGTGTGTGTGTGTGTGTGTGTGTGTGTGTCTTGTACTAATCATGTGATGAGGACCAAATGTCCCCTGAAGTACAGAAATACCAGTAAAGTTTGGTTCTTTTTGGTATGTGTGCGTACAGTGTTTGAAGAGTCTTGTGTGTGAGTGTTTTGTTAGCCTGACACGTTTAATAAATGTTAACTATTTTATAAAATATGTCTATAGTACACACACACATACACACACACACACACACACACACACACACCACAGCTAAAGTATGTCTTGACTGCATGTTTTGTCTTTAGCTGTTGTGAATTGTGAATATTGATTATTAGAGTTATTGATATGACTAATGATGTTATCTGTTACTGAACTAGACAAGACACACTTTTGCTGTTTGCATGTTTTAAATTTTATTGTCAAGTTTCACTCATATTTTAGTGTAAAAAGACAAATATTAGTTCAGAATATAGGAAACTTCAACTATATTAATAACAATAGGAATAGTTTGTTTGTGCGAGCAATGTGTTTGTGTATGTCTGTATATATATATATATATATGTGTGTGTGTGTGTGTGTGTGTGTGTGTGTGTAAGCAACGTGTTTGTGTGTGTGTATGTGTGTGTTTGTGTGTGTGTATATGTGTGTGCAATCAAGGTGTGTGTGTGTGTGTGTGTGTGTTTGTGTATATTTATGTGTGCTTGTGTTTGTCTATGTGTGTTATGTTTGTGTGTGTGTGTGTGTTTGTGTATATTTATGTGTGCTTGTGTTTGTCTATGTGTGTTATGTTTGTGTGTGTGTGTGTGTTTGTGTATATTTATGTGTGCTTGTGTTTGTCTATGTGTGTTATGTTTTGTGTGTGTGTGTGCGTGCGTGTGTATGTGTGTGATGAAACACTGCAACACACCTTGCTGAACGTCACCTGCGTTTTCTTCCTCTAACACAGGAAGTGAGTCAGTGTGTGTCCGAGCTAATAATAGACCCAGATCCAGATCTTTACACACACACACACACACACACACATGCACATATATTGATGAAATATTGATCATGTTTTTTTAATCACGGTAATAAACTAATAGTGAAGCGGTGATTAATTCCTGTAACGTCACGACTCTCAATATCTCAGGCCTCAACTCACAGATATACTACTGCACACACACACACACACACTCACACACACACACAGACACAGACACACACACACACACACACACAGTAGAATATTTGCTACTTATTGATGGTAAAGTGTAATTCTGCTCTGAGCATTAGTGATGTGCTGTGTACTGAACTCTTTTCTTTACTATTACAATTTTCTTCTAGAAATAAAATCTTAATTAAAGTTTGTACAATATATATATATATATATATATATATATATATATATATATATATATATGTATATTTATTTATTAGGGTCGATATTATTCGTCCCCTTAAGAATTTATAATTTTTCATTTGTCCTCAGGTCCAGCCAGTTGCCTGATGAGTGCTGGTTAACCCAGTAAAGCCTTTCCATTACACTGGTGAACTAATGTGCCGACCTCACGGTCAAGACAGCAGAGATTATTCATTAGATTAAATACGTGTTGCAGCATCTCTCCATGTACAGAGTGAGTGTGTAATGTGTGGAATATCTGCGCTGTGGAGTCTGTGTGTGTGTGTGTGTGTGTGTGTGTGTGTGTGTGTGTGTGTGTGTGTGTCAGGGATGACGGCCTCCTGCAGCTTCAGCCTGATATAAAGTCAGTTTCTGGTAAATCTGAGCAGTTTCTGCCTCTGCTCAGACTGCAGTGACTCAGTTTATCAGCGAGGCGTGGTGCACACACACACACACACACACACACACACACTCTGATCACTGCGCAAGAGTGGCTTCCTTTCCCTACATGAGTCACTTCACATCGAACATCAGTGAATTGCTCAATCTGTTTTAAACACGCCAGAACTGGTTACTCCAACATCACCAGACAAATATAGATATGCAGATCTCTCCTGTCTGCCGTTATCAGTCTCACTCTATTGTTTCCTTTTTCTGAAAGTCTTGATGACACTATCCTGGAGGAATCCTGAGCAAATAATTAAAGAAAAAGCTTATTGCACAGGTCCAGAGGGGATACAGCTGTGGATTCTCCCAATATCATAGCAGAATTTATGAGACACTGTACAACAATAATTCATATCATTATCTTTATTAATGTCTTTGGTAGATATTAATTAATGAGTAATATGACTAATAATATGAACAATATTCACTATAAATACTGTTTACATCACAGTGAGGGTTGGGGTAGGGTACAACTTAATCAAATTCATTCATTCATTTATCTTGTCGGCTTAGTCCCTTTATTCATCAGGGGTCGCCACAGTGGAATGAACCGCCAACTTATTCAGCACATGTTTTACACAGCGGATGCCCTTCCAGCTGCAACCCATCACTGGGAAACACCCATACACACACACACACTCATACACTACAGTCAGTGTAGTTGATCAGTTCCCCTATAGCGCATGTGTTTGGACTGTGGGGGAAACCGGAGCACCCGGAGGAAACCCACACCAACACGGGGAGAACATGCAAACTCCACACAGAAACACCAACTGACCCAGCCGAGACTGTTAATAAAATACAATTTAATGGGTAATTTAATAAATAATCTGAATAATACTGAGTATAATTGCTGTTTTTCCATCAGTGTGAGTGTTGGGCTGGGGAAGTCGTTAATAAAATGCAAATAATGTTTAATTTAATAAACAATATAAATAATTCTCGTTAACTTCCGGCCGCAGCTGTATCCCTTCCAGCAGCTACCGTCCACAACAGAGGAGCGGGGTTTGTGCGGCTGCGCCTTTAAGACGTGATGACGCAAGAGAGCGTGACGTGCCGTCGACTGTGGGCAGGAAGAACGCGCGCGTGTGATCGCATTGATCGCTCCGGTTCAGACGCGGCGCAGCTCCAGCGGGAAGCGCTTCTGATGCCGGCCCGGGGACTCCGACAAGCCCATCACCAGCGCAGAGCTCCAGCGAGCGCAAGCGGAAGCCGTACACCGGCCTGCGGGCGCGCCGACACCGACTGACGGAAGCACAGAGGCGTGTGCGCGCAGAGAGAGAGAGGGAGAGAGAGAGAGCGGCCATGAGAGAGTACAAAGTGGTCGTGTTGGGCTCCGGTGGCGTGGGCAAATCCGCCCTCACCGTGCAGTTCGTCACCGGATCCTTCATCGAGAAGTACGACCCGACGATAGAGGACTTCTACCGCAAGGAGATCGAGGTGGACTCGTCGCCGTCGGTGCTGGAGATCCTGGACACCGCGGGCACCGAGCAGTTCGCCTCCATGCGGGATCTGTACATCAAGAACGGGCAGGGCTTCATCCTGGTCTACAGCCTGGTCAACCAGCAGAGCTTCCAGGACATCAAGCCCATGCGGGACCAGATCATCCGCGTCAAGCGCTACGAGCGCGTGCCCATGATCCTGGTGGGCAACAAGGTGGACCTGGAGGGCGAGCGGGAGGTGAGCTCCGGGGAGGGCAAGGCGCTGGCGGACGAGTGGAGCTGCCCCTTCATGGAGACCTCGGCCAAAAACAAGGGCTCGGTGGACGAGCTCTTCGCGGAGATCGTGCGCCAGATGAACTACGCGTCCGCGCCGAACGGGGACGAGCAGTGCTGCTCCTGCGCGATCCTCTAGCGGCCGCGGCGCCGGCCCGCGCGCGCACGCTCTCCCGTTGCCATGGTGAGTGACAGAGAGAGCCGTTAAACAACCGACCGACGTGGACGAACACCGAAAACTTCTGTCAGCGAGCAGTTCAAGACCCCGATCACCGGGGAAAACCGACCGACGAGGACTTCTGTCAGCGAGCAGTTAAAGAGACCGACCACCGGGAAATACACCGACTCCTCTAACTCTGTTCATCCGAGATGCTGGAGACTGAGAGGTGTTTAGGCCTTCAGTGTGTGTGTGTGTGTGTGTGTGTTACGGACAGCGCCTTAAAGAGACAGTTCACCCGTTTCTTCTCGGCCTGTAAACACTGACTTTCATTGTGTTTGTTTGTGCTGTATGTGTGTGTGTGTGTGTCAGTGCTGACGTCACTCCTCAGAGTGTTTATCATGACAGCGAAACCGAAATCGCTTTAGAACAAGCTTCATTTATAGTGTGAACTGTTCCTTTAAGAGCCAAAATCAGACACACACACACACACACACACAGGCCAAACTGAAGTAATGCGGGTCATCATCCTTATGCTTATCTTTATGTCTGAGATACTGAGGGTTATTCAGCACAGCTGTGTGTGTGTGTGTGTGTGTGTGTGTGTGTGTGAGACACATCAGCTCATGTGTGTTTACTGCACAAACAGGATGCGTGAATACACTTCTGAATGCTTCATTTCTTGCACAGACAGATTGTTTCTCTTCATAAGTCAGCGGTGTGTGTGTGTGTGTGTGTGTGTGTGTGTGTGTGTGTCTCTCATTATATGAATCAGCATTCCTCAGCATCTCGGATGGATGTTAGTAATTTCCCCGTCTCCTGATGATGGGTCTCTTTAACTGCCGCAGTATTCCTGAAAGTGTCCTTGCACACGACTAGAACAGAACCAGAACTATTGAAGCAGTGTTTACATGACAGAGTACTTGAATGTTCTGGGATTATACATATGTGAACAGTGACGCATGGGGGGCTCTTGCTTTGCTCTCGGGGTCCTGCTGTGGTGTTTTCTCTGTATTTTATGTTGGAGGTGTTGCTGGATTGTTGATCCGCGTCTGAGAGCCGGTCGGTCGGTCGGTCTGCAGGATCGCTCCGCTGATGTCAACACAAGTGTCTTGCACTCACAACTGGAACTTAACCCCCTCCTCGCCCCCCCCAAAATCCAGCAGCGGAGGAGTTTTCTCTGCTGCACAGCGTCTGGCTCGCGGAGCGCCCCTCTGTGTGAACCCTGTTGCTTATTGTTGATTTGATTTGATCTTTCTCATTGTTGGAAACCACTTGGACGTCCACTTCCCTTCTCGGAGAGCGCACGAGGACTTTACCGTAGTAGCGCGAGGACGTCAGCGCGTCGAGTGCCTTCACAAAGCTGAGTTTAGTGCCAACCGTCAGGAGTCTCACACCTACACTTTCTCAACGTTTACCCTTCTGAAGGCCTGCGCTCACGCAGAGCTGCTGTTTCAGTTGAGTTTTGGTTAATCTCCATCACAGGTACTGAAGAAGAGCCCCCAGACTCGAGCCCACACACACACACACACACACACACACACACCACTGTCTCCAGTATCTTCTTCTTCTTCTTTTGATTTGTTGTTATTTTGATTTAACAAATGTGATGTACTATTCTAATCCGATTGTACGTTTGATTTCAGGCGAGCGTTTTACCCGCTGTCTGAGTGTTTTAAAAGAGACTTTTAATACATGCATTTTTAAAAAACTAAACCACACACTTTCTGCGCAGTTCTTTCGCTGGTCTGGTGTTTGTGCACGTACTGGCGTGTGTGTTGTGTTTGGATGATACTGTACTCGCTGTGGATGGTGTTCGGGTGGAGTTACAGTACGGCTCATGTAGCGGCATCATGTGACCCGAGCGTCACATTCCACAGCTGCATACTTCACTGTATGAACACTACACTGGCCCGTGCATCACACACACACACACACATGCGCGTGCTTCTTCTTCTTCTTGTGAAACAGATGTTGCGAGCGTTTGCTGGAGATTTAGAAATAGCCGATGTGTTTTTGGCTGTGTTGAGCGCGAGGCGTTGGCTGCTGTGTGTAATTACACATGTGTGAAGTATTCTTCTCCTCATTCCTGCGTCTCAGAGGCATAATGTAGGGCTTCAGCAGCAACGCTGCATTATTTTTGGCCAAACCTCAGAAGCTGAAGGTAATAGCGCTGGTCTTTGAGTGACTAGTGTCTCTCTGGGTGGAGAATTTGAGGTTCTTGAACACTGAGGATGGTGGGAGAGGCGCAGTCTGGCAGTTTGAGTTGTGCAACATTGGGAAGAGCTGACCTTGTTTTCTGCAACACACAGTTTGATGTGGAAATGGTTTTTTTAAATTGAAAATAATCTGTTATTTCGACAGAACGAACATTGGATCAACTCCAATTACTTCATGATGCGTCTAAAATAGTTAAGCGTCTTCCAACTTACTGCAGAAAATGCTTTTCTTACTGTTTCTAGTGCAGATATCAACATGTTTCACTTGTCTTGTTTTCAGAAATAATGAGTCAATTAAGTTAGTTACGCCTTAACAAGCAAAATTCATTCATTCATTTTGTTTTTAGCTTAGTCCCTTTATTAATTAGGGGTTGCCACAGCAGAATGAACCGCCAACTCATCCAGCACATAAGCAAAATAATCTGCCAAAGTGATGTTATATTTACTTTTGACATGAGATTATTTCACTTCTTGCCAAAACTTGGAATATTATTCCTGAAAACAACACCGTTATCTTTGCTCATCTGGAAAAAGCTTCTTGATTTAAGAATTAGCAGATATTTACTAGAAACAAGACAAAAGCTCTTAAGTAAGACAATCATTTGCTGCAGTGAATTATTTAAAATCTTTTGAGTGTAACTCGTTGATGTTATTTAAGTTCTCACTGTTTCCGCATGCGTATATTGTTATCTTAAACACTGCTGTTGGTTAGTTTCAGTTTGGGCCTTCGCAATTTCTGCACAAGATTAAATGAAAAATAATTAATTATGTTAATTAAAACAAACATTGGATTAACTTAAGTTACTTCAACTTGTTACATCTAAAAGAACGACATATTTTGACTTCATTCAATTTCATGACAATGCATAATTTTAGGTGTATCAAAGTTTTCACAGCTTCACCTTCTTAACTTCAGAAGCAAAGTGTGCAGTACATGCGTTGAATATTGACTATAAAGTTTTCTAAGACATTGATTTGGGGTGATTCTGATGGTCAGTGCATCTCCATCAAATATAATACTCCACCTACAAGCAGAAATGAGTGTAATGCACGTAAATAAACAGCATTTTAAGTGTTCTGGGCAGCCTAGCAGTAGAAATAATCAAATGTAAAAGGGCAATGTTTAGTCCTCAAGTTAAGTACAGTTTATTTATGTTTTAAAAAAAAGCTGCCTGTAATGAGCAGGCCTTGTGTTATGGACATGACATCACATCCAGTGCTGTTACTAATACCAGAACACTGATGCTGAAATATGTAGTCACTAAAATGATTGCATTTATTATTATCTCTCCTGTGAATTTTGTATTAATTTTCAAATATTTTTCAGGTGGAGATTGTTTTCAATGCATTTTTCAACATTAATTTCAATATTTTAAATCCAAAATCTCATTTCTTTTGTCTTTGCCATGGTAATTGCATAATATTTGACTAGTTATTTTGTATGATACTTGTTTTCAGCTTGAAGTGACATTTAAAGGCTTAAGAGAAAGATTTATTTGAGTAGCTAATAAGATTAAGTCTTACTGTTTTTACATTTATTTTTATATATATATATATATTAGCCAAACCAACAGAAATAAGACTCTCCAGAAGAAAAATAGAAAATAATTAGAAAAATGTCCTCCACTGGGAAATATTTGCCAAAACATTATTTCTGTATATATTCAGCAGACCTCATTTGACTGATCGCTGACACGTTTGATCCCGTTTAGTCATTGTTCACCCAGTAATGTTCGTTCTGTCTTTATTTCTTCACTCTTTGTGTTCTTCTACACCTGTTTCACTGGACATTTTCAGGCTTTCTGCTGGATTTAATTCTGAAGCGGAAGCAGAAGATCTTCCATTTAAAAAGCCATAATGTACAGTTCACCCAAAAATGTCAATTCTGCCCTCATTTCCTCTTCCTCAACTTGTTCCAAACCTGTTTGAGTTTCTGTTGAACACAAAGGAAGATATTCTGAAGAAAAAAACACAGACTTCCATTGTGTTTCTGGTTCCTATATTGCTCTCAATGTCTGCTTTTCTGCAGAATATCCTCCTGTGTGTTCAACAGCAGAAGCTAATGGTGTTAATGATAATATCAGTATTAATAAGAACATTTTAGAGCCGTTTTTCTTTGTTTATGAATATTAACACATGGTTGATTAACAACAACCAGCAAATACTCTTTCATTTGACAACAAACACACTTTACATTCCTTAACAAGAAGGATTAAATCAGAAAATAAATAAAGACAATTAAAAGCAGAGCAGGGAGGTTGGAGGAAGGTTGGGTTTTGCTTCTTTTAAGGAAAAACTCATTTAATTTTGAGTCATTCTTCAAACAACACAATATAATTGCAGATGTGTGGACTATAAACAAGGCAAATGTGTGTGTGTGTATATATATATATTTAGTGCTGTAACAAACTTTAAATCTATATTTATGCTAATTCATAGTTCACCTCCTCTCCATCAACTCTAGTGTTGTGTTCAGACACTGGGTTTATTTTGGTCTTGAGCAGGTTTTAAAGTGGCGTCTACTATTAAAAACTCATTTAGAACCTCATTCCGGTGGTTGGACTGCCAACATTTCTCCAAACATCTCCTCAGAATCATGCGTCAGTCGTGCGGGTTCATGATGAACGCTTATTTGGATGTCGGAGTGTGTTATGGGCTTTTTAAAGGGCTGTTTGCCAGAGGAAGTGCCGTTATTCTCCACGGTTTCACTTCCTCCATCTCTCAGCTGATCTGTGGTCAGTGGGCGGGTGACTCTGCTGGTGTGTCATGTGATGCTGTTGCCGTGGTGACTGCCGTGTGAAGATTGTATGTTTTAAGTGGATTAAGAGCCGGGAGTGTGTTGATTCTTCAGTTGTGGCCTGTTGATCAGTGTGTGTGTGTGTGTGTGTGTGTTTAGCCAGGCCTCTGTTGGAGGAGCATTGCAGCACAGCTTGAGTGTATGTGGGTGGTGTTTGTGCATTTCTCTCTCGTTCTGTGGCTCTGATTCTCTGCTTCTCTTGTGCTGCTCTTTTATTGCTGCTCTCAGATCGAGTGATGCTGGAGTCGGTCTGTTTTAGATGGAATCATTACTGCTTTATTTACATAGCTTTGAAGAAGAAAACTCACTTTTATAACACAGTAGTGTGTGTGTCAGGTGTGTGTGTATCTCCAGCAGCCTCTGATGCTCATCATGAGTGAACTGTGTTCATTATAATCAGACTTGATGCAGGAACACTGTGATGGACATTCTCCTGCTGTACCTGTCATCAGAGGAGGAAAGCCCCGCCCATTATTCTTCATCTCATTAGCATGTCCAGCAGCCCTGAGTGAGAAGCAGCCGTCTGTCCATTAGCCATCAGAGTGTTTGAGCTGCTGAAGATGATGTCAGCATAGACTAAGAGGATTATAGATGTGGAGTTCTAGATGAACAGAGACAGGAGAGACATAGACTGACACAAGCATCAACACACACTGAAGCACACACACACACACACCTGACCAGCGCTCACAACACACACACTGCTGCTCTACAGCTGTCACTATGCTCATGCAAATGCATCTGAAGCTCCGCCCTCTTCTGAAATAAGCTCATTTGCATTTAAAGCGACAGTCACCAAAACACCACAATTAGGATCAAAGCCTGAAAGGGTCAGTTTCAGAGCTGGAGAACATTATCTGTGTGCTGTTCTCAGTTAAAACTCTCTCTCTCTCACACATACACACACACACACACTCTAGAGACACATTTACATCTCATACAGAGGCAGAATAGCTCTACTTTAAGTTTAACTAATGTAAATAGTCATTGTGTGTTCATGTTAGTATTAGATGAACTAATGCAGCATATAGTAGAGTGTGTAAGTGATGCCACTTCTGTCAGTGTGTGTGTGTGTGTGTGTGTGTCAGTGTGATGTTGAGCAGGCCTGATCTGGGAAAACCCTCAGATTCCAGTCATTGTTGTCATTCCGCCTGGGCTTGTCTGCATCCCGATGGAGAAGAGCTTCAGACTGCTGTGCAAACACACTGATCCTGATGTGTGTGTGTGTGTGTGTGTGTGTGTGTGTGTGTGTGCGTGTGCGTGTGTGTGTGTGTCCACAGCTGCAGGCCCTCGGGTCATTATTAGATTATATATATTATATTATTAGTTTGCAAACTCAGAGAAACCCAAGGCTGAAATGAAAAGCTCAGCCATATCTCTGACACATCATCACCAGCAGCAGCGTGCATTAAAGATATCTTCACTTACACTACTTCATTTAGATGTCTTTAACTGAATCTGGCATGCTCACACGTCACAATAATGTATTTACCAACATCAGCTAATATTGCATCAGATAATCTTGCACAGCATTTAATAATCACACTTCAACATTTACTGATGCATTAATATTATGATGATGTTATCAGTAGTTAATGCAGCATGAGTTAAGATGAACTAAAGATGAATGACTGTATTTCTGTGCTATAACAGATCAGGCAATACTGTAATAAATGTGTTGTTCATGTTAGTAAATGCAT